TTTTGTCTTTCTCTAGATCCAGCCCCTGTGTAGGGACATGGTGTACGGCTACCCCGTAACGTGGTTTTACCAGTCTTGTCTCATGGCCCAGCTCCTGTAACCATTCTGTATTGTTCCTGGCAGCCTCAGCTGACTCGGGGTCTTTGAAACGGATCACATATCCGGTTTTGGTGGTTCCAACCCCTGCTACCTGTACCCCGTGGGTGGATGGTGCGTTCAGTAAGGCGGTCCTGATGTGGTTGTTCGCAGACGGCGTGGGGAGGTAACGGCCAAATTCATTAGCATTGGTGTATATACCGGTTGTGTCAGTTGGCAACGGCTGGGTGCTGATTCGGATACAGTTCTTGTCCTTTTCGGTGCGTCGGTTCTTGCTTGGTTCGCAGTTGTTCGTGTCCGCTGCTACGCAGTTATACAGTCGGTCTCAAAATACCATTGACCTTGAAACACATGGCAATTGATTTCGCGCCCCACCGCCAAGAATTTATTGGGGAAGTTATAGAGAGCCACCCGCTTGCAAATGACGGTCGCCGTCAATTTGGATAATGGTACAACTCAAAATTAAGTGCATAGTTACGTAGCTAATGTTTATACCGAAAAGTGCTCAAATAATCGGCTCGCGCTAAGCCCTTGGCAGTGGCTGGAACATAAATGGTATGTGTGTGAAGGTCAGAGATATTTCGAGACCGGCTGTACGTCTATCATTCCGGTCTGATTGCCAACGTGCGGCCTACACTGACAGCCTTACTGGTACGACTGGTTCACTGACCGGATGGTTAACGCGACAGGGCAACTCGAAGAAATGAATGTTTTTTCCCTTTGACGGCTGTTTGGCGGGAATTGCGAAAGAATGGCTAGAAGCTGGTCGTTACGCCAGGGAAGGGTTATCGCATTTCAAAGACGAAACATACCAACCCTCGAGAAGCCCAGTCTTGATCTGTTCGGCCCGGTCTTGATTTGTTCGACGTCAAAGGCTTGCTAGTTCACCGGCTTAATGAACAGCTTGTAGAGTATAACCGAGGTCTTGCATCGGATTTGGGCGCTTCTAGGTCGGCTAGTTCGGCCGATGAGGATGGTGCGCATGGTGTGGTCTGTGACGACGCTGACCCTGTCTTCGGTTCGATTCATCTCAATATACCTTAGTGAATGTTGCGCCAAGAGAACCCCCACTCACGCCTCATAGCAAGCTCGGTTGCTTCGCAACACGGATGGTTCGATGTGCTAGAACGGAGTTCCTGGCATTGGTCAGCCCCCTCTATCTAGAAAGCAGTTGTCGTTTGCAGTGCCATACCAGCTGACCATTCCACGACTCTGAATCCCTTTGGTGAATTACAAGTCCCCATGTCTATGATCTGTCAATTCAAACCACCCGGTATCTTTATAAGGCTTGGGTGATTCGTCTGCTCACCATGGCGGTAGACAATGCCCATACAGTCATAAATATGGCAAGAAGCATGACTGAATCTGAGAGTAGAATTCTGTATACTTTCACCAGCTGCTGTCCTCGGTGGAATGGAGCAAAGAAGAATCGAGGAAGAAGTCCATGCTCTCCATATATGTTGCCCAATTTGCTCTTTGGCAGATGCGCAGTCTACACTGTCTATCATTCTGAATGGAGATCAGGATCTATTGCGTGAGATGCGATCAGTATGTCCACACTTTTTGCACTCTGGTCAATTTGGTCGACATCCCGACAACCCCATTTTTGGTAGGGTTTGGATTGGAAATAGGTTTGTTATTGGGGTGGAATGCTGCTGGCGGCACGAATTCTTATTGGTCGTATCCGCCCGCAAAATTCATGCCCAGCACGGCCATGCTCGACATTGAATCACTTGAAACTGGGGGCAGCGGAGCAAATTATCAACCTGCTGACCTGGTTTTGATGAGCGATCCCTTAGAGTGGGCAATATATTCAATCTTGGCGCGCCTGTTGATTTTGTATGCTTCTCGTAGAGTTACCAAAAGCCGGCTGTGCTGGACACGCTGGTGTAGCTAGTGTTGGTCATGATACATATATATTATTGGTCAATCATGTACGAAAACTGTACTGTAGACCATTGATGCGCACGATTACAATCGCGAGCGACAAGGCCTACATCTGTAGTAGCCTCAAGAATAGTATATACAAATGCCAGTATACCCATGTGTTGGTCTTCTTGCTTTACGCCTTAAGCTCAGAGGTTGAAAACCGAGGACAATATTCCCTCGGTGCGCATTCGGATTCTCCCGGCGGGCTTCAAATTGATCCCCTGGACAGCTTCCTCATAAGGACTAGTCCCGGACCCTCCCGAGCACCAGCAAATGTTGATGGCCCAGGACAATAACATTCGATCCCAGAAGGCGGTGAAGTGACGCGCCCGCCTGGGCATCTGAACAGGTTTAATGCCCGCACAGTGCGCATCCCGTTCCCGGAGACGGCATCGCGAATGTTTGACCGTCTACTCGGTGATTCCTTTATCATCCTTTCCCAATTCTCGCCATCTTTCGACCAGATCTTCACCATTCCTTGCCTCTTTACCTCATCTCCATCACTTGTTCCACTCCCTCGTTTTTCTTTTGTATCTTTTCTTTTTTCTTTTTTCTTTTTTTCTTTTGTGACCCGCTTCATTTGCCCTACCCTTGGTCTGCAGGTCAACCAGCTCCCCCACTGGGTCTCCCATCAACCGCAATCAGGCACCTCAAAAGGCGATCATCACATTCTGAAAGACGCAGGGT